CAGTCGAGTCTTGACAATTAAATGAGGGCAATTTGCGAGGGTATTTTGTACAAAATGTGTTCGTAAATCCTACTAATAGATATTTATTTTGTTCGTAAATCTGGTCCAAATTTCGTAATTTACGACATTTGCGAGCGACAGCTAGAGCACAGCCAATGATGCATATTACAAAATGTTGTGTCAAAGGTCAAGTGCCACGCCCACTCCACCTTCACATTGGTGCGCCCTGTTCAATTTTCAAACCATGGTGAACCACGAGACCGTCTCGGTAAGAAAAGGCACAAACAAAATTTTTCACTGAGTGCCCACGAACCTGCATCTCTACCATAACATGACGTTGAAGTGATTAGGAAAAGTTGTGCATATGATTTCTACTTTTTCTGCTCTGCTCTCAAACCCAAATAGGTTTTCAAGGAAATTTTCTATAGACTCAAGTAATTATAAATTTGGCATACAATTATTAATGAGTTATTCAATGTTGTAAATTTGTCAGTGTGAAATATGTTGAATCTCTCATCAGAGGTGTTGTCTTTAGGCTGATTAAACACATAATGATCACATTTGTTCATTTTATATTCAGAATAAAGAGTTTAATGAGAAGAGTTATATTCTTTTGCTTATGATATACATAAAATATTATGTTTTCCTTTACAGAATGTTGTAGTCGTGACAACTGTCAAACCTTACAATAGATTGTCTACCTCAGAACCTACTACTAATGGTACTGCTATGGTTAATGGTCTTCTATCTGAATGTATTACCCATGTACCTACAGAATTCTCATCAGAGAATGATGAACAAACTGAGATGCTTATAGAAAAAACAGATGATGTAAGCAGCACAGAAATAGACCACCTTGAAGATGCTTCGGAGGACAATGAACAATTGTCTGATGAGGCTGAAACTGAAGGAGACTTGGAGGAAAAAGAAGTAAATACAAGTAGCAATGTTGGTAAGTTTGTAGTGTAGATTAGTGTTTGGTTTAGTCCTCGCATCTGCTTGCAAGCAATGATCAATATTTAGGGTAGTTGGCATGGTCATTGGGAATCTGATAATCTGATAAATTAGTGGCAACTGTAGACGTCACTGTGACAAAATAACTTACTGGATGTACTTGCAAGTATTCTACTAAATCTCCAAATTGTATGTGTGTAGTTCATAACCAATCTTGTTACAAGTTTTGTTCATACTTACCTTACCTTGCTATACTTTAACCATTGATTTGTTTACAGAGAGTAGTGACAATGTACTTGATCAAACTGCCACTGTGAGTGGTGACACTGAAACAATGCAGGTCACTTCAAGTGAAGAACAAACAGTGAAAACTAAAGAAACTGATTGTACAGAAACTGATTGTAGCATGGTGACTAGTTTAGAAGAGACAACAGACAAGGTTTCTAGCTTAGAAGAGACCACCGACAAGGTGACCAGTTTAGAAGAGACAACAGAAAGGGTGGCCAATTTAGATGAAACTGACAACAATGCGACCAGCTTAGATGAGACCAGCGACAAGATGCCCAGTTTGGAAGAAACCAGTGATAACATGGCCAGTTTGGTGGAGAGCAGTGACATGAGCAGTTTGGAAGACGGCAGCAACAAGGTGACTAGTTTGGAAGAAACCAGTGATAACCTGACCAGTTTGGAAGAAACGGGCAACAAGTCAAGCAGTTTGGAAGAGACAAGCAACAAGGTAACTAGTTTGGAAGAGACAAGCAACAAGGTAACTAGTTTGGAAGAGTCAAGCAACAAGGTAACTAGTTTGGAAGAGTCAAGCAACAAGGTAACTAGTTTGGAAGAGTCAAGCAACAAGGTGACCAGTTTGGAAGGTTCAACTGAAGAGACAAGTGCAATTGTTTCTACAACTGTTTCTGACAGTGGTGAATGTGAAGATATCAACAAAAGCTCAGGTGAATATTAGTATACCAATCTTTAATTCAGAATAAGAAACAAAATATAGTTTGGTTTCTTAGTGTAATTTGGATTCAAAGATATCTGCAATTTCAAGACAGCTTGAATTAGCAAGTTATCAGTATTGCACTAGAATGCTGAAACCCAACTTTTGAAGGAAAAACATTGAGATTTGTATTCAGAATTTTTTAATTGGTCACCTGTCTGTCAGCTTTACAATGTACTATTGTTAATCATGGTTACAATATAAACTGGTTTGTCTTCATTGTTTTGTTGATCCAGGTGATAATGCTTTAGAAGCTGCTGGCAGAAAACACAAAGATAATGATACAGACGTTTGTGAACCAAATGCTAAAAGACCAAGGTATGATAGTGAAGATGTTGAAAAAACTACTGAGGGTGAGGATGAACTTAATGGTGTTGGTCAATCAGAAACTAACAGTACAGGTGGTGAAGCCCAGTCTAAAACCCATACATTAGATAATAAACCGGATGACAAACAGGATGATGTGCCTGTCAGCGAGTTAGAAGAACCAAAAGAATGTGAAGGAAGTAAGGAAGTTGTGACAGAATCAGCTGGGGATACAAGAGAGACAGACTCAAAAGTAATTACTGAGCAGATCACAGAACAGATTGAGACGGAAATAAAACTAGAAGCAGGGTCTGATAAAAGTACTGATAAAACTGAAAATAAACCTGTTGAGTCAGAGGAACCAATGGATCAAAGTTGAAAATGTACTGTATTCTTCAAATTACAAACTTGAAAAAAAAATGGGCGTGTCAACAAAAATATGTAAATCTGTATCCTGTCTCAAACATTTTGCCCAAACTTTATCAACTCTTGTATACTCTGAGCTTTTGTATTTTTTTTAATGAGAATACAATGTTCTAAGCTTGAGGGAGGAAGTTATGTACACTATTCAGCAGGTCACTGCCTATTAGATTATGAATTATCGACTTTAGTTGAAATTTATTAGTACCCCTACTATTGGAGAATTCATCTACATGAATTACCGCTGTACATTAGTCACCCATTGAAGCAGCTATTCAGTTACTTATGAATCGAGACTGGATTGGAATACTGCTTATGGCTGGTTTTGTGTGTTCATTTGTCTAGATCAGCAGTAATACACAAGTGACATTGATTTACACATTTGGTGCGGACCAGAGATTGCATTTTTGTCACTCTGTGTTGACTATTACTAACGCAGGAAATCTTGCAAGTCCAAGCTTACTGTGTTACATCTCGGGTTAATCCCCATGATAAAACATTTTAGAGCATAATTGCATTTTGATTCTTTGCATTAAGTGTGTATTAATTGTACAGGGCTTAAAGTAAACATTACTTGACATCTGCTGGGCTGCTAGTTTTAAAAGCTGGTAGTTTCATGGTTATATTTATATTCATATTGCTAAATTTCTGTTGGACACCAACTAATTTATATAAAAAAACAAAGCATTAATAATTTCTAAATCGGTAGTTCAGTTTGGGGTACCGTACTAATCTTGCTGAATGGCTTCCCCCATCCAGGTGTTGGTTGGCCATGGGCTATTGTCCATTCCGAGCCCTCGTATGCTTAGGTTTGGCATTATATACCGGTATCATATCCCAAATGGCTACGTTTCAATTTCCAAAAATAAATTATTTATGTTGACATGTGAAGTTCAGTAATGATCAATCAGATCTAAAAATGAAATATTCCTTTTGTAGAAATGCAAAGTATTTAAAGTCCTGAATGTATAAAAGCTTGTTTTTAAATTATTCAATGGCTATACAACTTTCTGTAATTGTTTTGTAATGGAAGTCTTAAAAATACAACTATGGGAGGGGTTGTTGGTTTCGTCCACCAATGAATATTGATAACTAAAGCTGTCTCCATGTACCAGTCTGCCATTCCAGGATGACTTTTTCATGAATCCAATGTGCATAATTGATTTCAAACCAAAGAATAGTGTCGGTTAGCTAGTCTGGAATGATATCTGGGACAGTGTCTTGGATATCTGGTCACTATCAATGACTAACCTGTTGTAATGCAATTTCCTGTTAACATGAAGACTATCATATTGACAAACTACCACTACGCTATGTATTGTCATTTGGTGTATATTTAAAGTTCAAACCACCACCCTCATTCTATTAGCTCATTTCTCAGTAATTCAACTGCCAAAAAATGAGAAGTGCTTTATTGTAAGACTTTTAAGCAACCTCATCATTGATTCCATTTGAATGTCACAATTTTTTTTCCTGGAAATGGTATTTTTATGTGAATTAGTGTGAATTAAAAAAAGTTTAATATGTGACATTTAAATAAAGTTTTACTTAAATTTTAGCTGTTTGTGTCCTGCAACTTTGTATTCGAAGTGTGTGTGTGTGTGTGTGTGTGCGTGCGTGCGTGCAAAATAAAGCATTGACATGGTGTATTTCATGCATTTTACACTACATCAATGACCCAGGGCTGGAAACTTAATGAAAACTCAAAATCAGCATTTCTGCCATTTTGAAACCAGATTTTGGTCATGGACTGAGCCATGATGCATGTCTTTTTTTCAGATTGATTCAAAATGGCCAACTGGCTGCCACTTTTTGACAAATGCTATTTAGGAGCCATATTTATGACCCGCCTTGACCAATTACATGTACATTCAAGTATCATGTCTTGCATTTGTTTGAAAATCTGATTTAGGATAGCTGAATGCCGACAATTTTAATTTTATAATTTCATTAAAATCTGCCATTCCAGATCTTGGTTATGGATGGAGAGATTTTATACATACAACATTGCACATACCCCGGTACAATTGAATATAAGAATTTGATGCACATTTTGTTTTCAGATCGGAATCGATCAATTGCGATGCAGGTTTTATGTTCTGGAACCATGACTGACATGCTTGACCTTTTATTTATAAATGATATCAACAGTCTAACATTGAAATTATCTTGTGCTACTTTTATGAATGTATATATAGGGGTAATGTACAAATGTTAATGATTTTATGCAGTACTGTATTATATAGTAGGAGGTAGGAGATTTGTCAATTTTTGAGACCAATAAAATAGATACTTGCACATATTCAACTATTGAATATTAAATTTTTTATTCATAAATGCATTTATAATGTAAATGTCTCCCACATTTGCACAAAAAAACAAGTTAGTACAAAGTTTCATACTAGTTAAATTTTGGCCTCAATTCCTGTATCCCAATAAAAAGTTTCTAAAATACATGTACTGCATTATTAGTTTCTTAAAAATATAAAATTTTTATGACAGTCAAAAAGATTGACATTTTCCACTTCTATAAAAAGCCTGAAAAAACTATTTTCAGGATGAGCATGTCTAGAATAAAATGTTGCATATAATTCAAGAGTGGATAATCTGTGAAATACAATAAAATGACTGTCACGACTTTGTTTTTAGACGTATTGCTTCACATGCATGTTAAAGTATTTGACAGCCCCAACAATTTTTCTGTGGATATTTTGTTATATATATTGTTCTACCATTTCCATATACCCAGAATCTACTGCCCTTGGTTTGCCATGTCCAATGAACTTCTGATACAGGAACAGCTCTTACGATGTGTTTCTGAAAAAGAACAAAATATTTTGTGACCAGCTAGTTAAGCTACATGTTCATTCCTATTTCAAAGAATTCTCCCAAAGCCTGATTAATTATAGATCTACCGGTACTTAATAATCATCACAGAATTCAGTGACTTGTATTCAAATCAATATTAGATAGGCTGTGGTTTAGTTCATAGACGTGTATATATATATAGGTTGTTATCTAATATGAAACTAAAACTTTGATAAAACTTAATTTGGTTTATAGTTATCAGATTAAAATGGCAAAATATATTCTATTTAAAGGGTTAGTGTTTATGTTTAACATTCTCATGAGTTGCCACAGGAGACAAGTGAGAATATTGAACAGAAAAGCAAGTGGTATAAAGCGATATTTTTTACTCCAGTGTGCGAAGTACACAATGGATGTCACCCTGTGTGTGTGTGTCAGTCTGTTCCACTGATATCTCAAGAACCTGTTTTTGATGAAACCTGGTGCATAGCTGCTCTGAGCCAATTCGCAGGTTTTGGTAGTAATCCATGCATATTAATTAGCTAATTTTTAGCTGTTCCACTGATATCTAAAGAACCACTCATTGGATTTTGATGAAACTTGGTTCATAGATGCTCTGAACTAATGCCAGGTTTTGATTATTTTTGGGTGAAAATCTGTGCATATTAATTAATCAATTTTTGGCTTTTCCACTGATATCACATTTCAATGAAACTTGGTACCTAGAAGTCATAGGACACTGCACAGACTTGGTAGTTTTTAGGGTGATATCAGTACATATTAAATACCTAATTTGCATAATAAATTAATTTTCAGCTTTTGATATTTCAATGAAACATGGTACATAGATACTCAAGGACTATGCAGAGATTGATTGTTTTGGGACAAATATTTGTGCATAATTAGATAATTTTCAGATTTTCACATATATGTCAAGTACTAATCATCACATTTCAATGAAACTTGGTATATAGATCCTCTAGGACTATGCAGAGATTAGTTTTGGGGTAAATAATTGTACATATTAATTTAAATTTCAGCTTTTTCACTGATATCTCGAGTACTAATCATCACCTTTAAATGAAACTTTGTACATAGATGGTCTGTTACATTGCGCAGACTTTCAAATTTTTATGTAGCAATGAGGTATTTTTGAAACGGGTCCATTCAAGATATTAAATGTTGTTCATACATACTTTAATGAGTAGTTAAATTGTCAAATCGTGCTGTACTGTGGCAAAGGAATTACATGTATAGCGTGTGTTATCGTTGCTTGGGACTCAATTCCCGCACATGTGCAGGCGACGACCCTCTCGCTTCAATATAATATTCTGTGAATATAAACAATCGATTGTTATGGTGTTTATTTTTCGAAATTAGACCACCAAACACAAACGCAGAATCCCTGTCACAAGGACATACACGCTTTCTCTTGCTTGGAATGAAATTGATAGAAATGTCAAATGTCCCGCCATTAATATCATATGGAAATAGTGATGAAATTTGAAGTACTGGAACTGGGGGTGATGAAGCTAATGGTACTATCGATGAGAGGCAGGTCATGGGAGTCAGAATGTGTGGGATGTATACAAACCCAAAATTTTTTATTGGCCATCATCTGTTGCTACTGTTTTGTTTTCCAGCGTATTAAGAGCACCCTGAATAGTTGTTCAATAGCTAGCAAACATCAAATTACTCAGAAGTACGTAGTTTTTATGAAAAAACATCTGAAATCCTTGCACATAATTAAGGAACTATATTTTATTCGTCCTGAATGAATTTAATTTATTTTACACTGCCCAACAGCCACAGGATCAAAATATAAAATAAAACCTATCATGTGACTGATACTTTCATTTGGAACTGATGTAGCGATTATGAACAAACTCCAAGATTACTGGGGTCCAATATGTGTAATGTGACCCACGAAAATGTTCACTGCTACTCAAAGGTCAGCTGAGTGTCTCTCATCAATGCGTCCCTTGCCAACGGATGAAACAAATCAATATACACAAATATGACTTGCAACTAATTTATTCCAGTCCCAATATCGCATGACAAGTAACGATTGACTGCAAACAAACAAAAACAGTCAATAAGCAAATTGCTGTACATAACAATTCATACAGTAAAATACAGCATACAATAAACTACATGACTTAGGAAACAGCGCCCTCAAGCGGGTGAATTCACTTCACTAAATTCATACAGAGCAAATCTGACATAAACACAGAAAACAGTGAATTAATAAAGCATTCAAGTGTAACATCAACGAGAATGAATCAATGTGCTGTAAATAGCCGATAGTTTAATTGATCATACGCAATTATATGATGTAGTGTTCTCTGCCCAAGTTATTGCATCATAATCTATATGCACTTGTATCGAGCAGCAGGGAAAGTTACAGCACATATAAAACACAGCAAATTGCAAGAAACGTTATTCTCACCGTATTTATAGATTGACCCAGCAACCAACACAATTCTGAGACTTTCAACCAGTCAGGATTAGGAGTGCTCGATGGCAGTAAAGCAGACGACTTTCACAGAGCTTCATGCACAACTTTCTCTGTCAGCCATCATTTTGGAGTCACTGACCTCTGACCTTGGCTTACCCAAACCTGCCACTAGAGGCGCTGTTTACTTAAACTAACAATTACATACATATGCATGTTGTATAATAAAGTACACTAACCATTTTTGTGGCGACTAAACATAGTCTCAATAACAAACATAATAACAATGAATAAATCTATATTTGGCCATAACAGGAACACTGCAGTAACGAGTGACATTTTCACTCCTATAACAATAGAAATCAGTGGATGTCTCACTTGAATGTATGATAAATACTCATAATTCACAGTGATTTACATATACCATACAGGTGTTATTAATCAAGGCAATATTCATAGAGACCACAGCTGACTAATAAGGTTACACCTTGCAATAATTGAAAACATACAATATTACCTGTCTGTGAATTTTCTTCATATCAGTCTGGCACATCCTCACATGAGAATCTAATAAACTTTTAGAAAAGGTATTCAATTCTTGATCAGGATGGTTCATGATTGGCTGAACCTAAATAAAAACAAATCTGTGTTAATTTAATTTTCAGACAATGGGGGTGCTTCATAAGTATATTAAGGTAGCGAGAGGGGGGGGGAACTAGAAAAAAAAAATTTTGAATAATAAAACATATTAATCTTAATCTTTGGTGCAAATTCACAGTGTGCAATTTCAGTTTATTCTAGTTGTGGGTGAACACGTCCTTCATGTATTTACACATCATGTTGAGTGACAGACTAAAGACAAAGGATTTAATTTGCATACTGATTTGTTGACCATCCAGCTTTATTATATTCTGTGTAATCTATAAATAGTGTCCGTTACGCGATCGAAGCACAGACAAACATTACACTATAGTATTTCAAGTTTTTCTCGGTGTTTTAATAAACTAATATATCATGGGAAGGAGTTCCAAGATGGAAAAAAACTGGCCGCCGAAAAATGTCCGACGCCGATAAGGATGTAGTAGATTTAACAGGGATGTTATAATAAGGCTTGATATTTTCATATAAGAATTGTCCTGAGCTATAGTAAACTATATATTTTATTAATTTAAAAGCTCTTGTTTCACACTTCCTGAAATTCTGGGTCATTTTGATCTAATTCAATGGCAGTCACGTGACTGCTAAGTAAACAAACAAAAAATATTATTTAAAAAAAAACGAGTACTGCGTGAAAATGAAACTATAGTTAGATGTGTAACAAACATCGTAATGTTGACCACAGGGTGTCCCATCCAATCGGGTGACAAGATTTTTGCCCAGCGAGATGTGTTTATTTCATGAGACCAGCTTGAAATGTTGGACCACGGTCACTGAATTACACTTAATTTACTTTGAGTTTAAAACCTGATTTTTCACCAATGGCCATTGTTACAATAAAACACTCTCACATGTTTGTTTGACACTTATGCAAAAATTCAAGCGAATGCAATACCCAGGGAATGCAGCGTACTCGATAATGTAGTAATTAGTCAGTTTTCATTTGGCAGAAACGGCAAATAACCTTTCCACTGAACGAACTGAACCAATATTTTCAGTTTGGGACGTTGTTTGGGAAATATTTTACACTCGGGCGAAGGGTATACTTTTATTTTATAGATTGTGTGGTTCAAGTTACAAAGTGTTCAAGCGTATCGTCGATATTCAACGTAAACCAGGCTCCAAAGCACTGGCGAGACTCGTTCATCTAGATAGCGTCGTACAGTTACAAAAGATAAATTACGTAATCCTATGCACATACAAAGGTTGTTTATTGACTGGACATAAGTGAGAGATTATGGTTACTTCCTTAGTAACCGGGAACCGCACGACTGAGTTTATTGTGGCAGCTACTGCAATTTTTAATGTAGGCCAACTGTGACTAGTTTGAATCGCCGCATGTTTTCCACACAATGTCTAAGTTACCGACAACGATCATATCAGTCATCCCCCTTAGAAAAAACAAGTCATTGTTAATGACACAGTCCCGTCCAAAATTTTGTGATCTGACATATCAATTTGATGCTGATGAAGTCATTGAGATTAGATTGAAACCATTAATAGGAGATGGATTTGTAAAAAATTGCTTTTACACTAGAATTAAAACATTGGGCAGTCATATTGAATCAAATTAAAATCAAAAACTGATGTATGGTTCTTGAGATATCAGTGGAACAGACGGACACACATACACACACACACACACACACATACAGACACACTAACTGCAAAGACTCCCTTTTTGTGTTTCGCACACGGGAGTCAAAAATAATGTTCATGTTAATGTATCTATTGGTATACTATCTTTGTACAAAATTTAAAGAGAAACGTTCATTGCATTCAAGAGAAAGTAGAATGGGTACCATGAAAAACAAAATGGCCGCCAGTCAGCCATACATATTTGTTCGAATCAAGAAAAAAAATTATGTGCACCTATAACTCAATATGTATGATCATCATATCAACTTTGATCTAAATTGGCATAGTCATCTCTGAGAAACAGCTTCGAACATGTAAAAAATGATGATTTCGGTCAAGTGGCACCCAGGACTGGCGTGACGATTATTCAATTGTATTTATATCTCAGTTTCTTACTGGATATTAAAATTTAGTTGTGATAAATAATTTGTCGTTTGGGACAACGTGTGAAAAAAAGTACCTTGCCATACCCAAAGCCGGCCTGTAAAAATTAACCCTGTCTGGTATACAGGAATCATGAAGCTCCATGCAGGAAGTAAACATGCAGTACAGTTCAGCTCTGAAAATTTGACGTCATAATTGGGCGGGGACACTCCGTATATTGAGTGAGGTGATTGACACATTTCTTTATTTGAATTTTTTTGTCGGAGCTCTGACGCCGCTTCTACAAATTCCTTCTCAAGTTCATTCTATGCTCCATTTGCCACATCAACGACGTGTTTTTCATATGGTCCCCAGTGGATTGGTGTCAGTAAGCCCATGTATGCTATCGCACGTTGCCTTTATCGATCGCTCTTCCTGCGATCATCATTTTCCTGTTTACTTGAAACTGTTTTCCTTGTTTTTCAAAAGACATGAAAATGCTCTCGGGTGAGGAAAAATAACATTCGGAATTTGAACAATTAATTTGGAAGTGGGATCCCCAGCCGTGCCGTGTGTCTTCCTCCAATGTCAAATCCCTTCGTTGCAGCTTGAGCACCGCAATTGCCGAAAAAGTTAGCAATTTACAATGTAGACATCGATCAGTCTCATCGATCCATCTGCGTCAGCCATCTCATCATCGTCACCATGTGATGATAATTTCTTTTCTGATGCACTTCTTGGCGCTTCTTCTAGTTCTTCAATGTCTGAGCAAGGAGCTAGCTCCATGGTCTGAGCTGCATGTAGACAAATGTTGCACCGTCACAGCAGTATCGTCGGATCGTTGTTGTTTTTTTAGACAAAGTTTTGCTTCTTCGGACATTGGAGTCATATTCCTCTTTTTTGATCCCTTCCTTCTCTTAATTTCTAATAATAATTCTGATAAAAATTTTAAGGAGCGCTAATTTTTGGATGTGTTACACCCGGGTGTCACACTCGGTGTACTAATATAGAATGATCACAGAGACAGGGCGTGTTTCCGTTGTTTCCGTTGCTAAGTAGGCTAACTTATGCAAATTAGGTCAATATTTATTGTTTGCGCTCAAAGCCGATTATCCTGAAATCAAAGTGAGCGGTCTGCTGTTATAAACATATTCTAACTTTTTTGTTAAAAATGTTTAAAAACTATTTCGAGTGGGAAACACATCCACTGCATGCAGATAGACAAATGCCACCAAAATAAACAAAAAATGTATAAAATAGTGACTGTTAAGTCTACTACATCCTTAAAAGATATCTAAATAAAAGTGACCTGTGCTCAAATTACAGTCAGCCCGCAAAGTGGTTTGAAGACGAGCCAATCAACAGTAACAACAAAAGTTCTGCGCAAAATATTGTCCTGAGTGATTGTGACACCAACAACGAGATGTAAATGTGTGTTTAGAGAACCTATTGTACTGTTGACGCTGTTCAACATAACAAAGGGACTTGAATACATTAATTGCGGGGTGGCGTACTTGTTCAATTTAGCACTCACTTTCGATGAAACTGCTAAGTTTTGTCACTTTTTAAGGAACAACCAACCGATTTTCACAATGTAACAGTCCACACAGGTCGGATACTTGTATATTTACGAAGTATGATCGAAATGGTCAAATCCAGAGAAATGTTTTATTGAGTTTTTACGGAAACTATTTTTTTACTATCATAACTATTGAAGATGTCATCTTTTAACACTTTTCTCTGCGCTAACGATGTACAAATTACACAATCTATTTGTCACAAAACGTCTCATGAACGTTTATGTTGACGTTGAGTTAAGGCATTGAGAACATGGAGACGATCATAAAATTTAGTCCATATAGTTCAACAGACTTTATCTCCAGAACTATGAGGCACATAAAAATTCCGAGACGCATTTTCAAAGATCTTTATCTTATAAAGCAGCAGTGAAAAGATCAGAAACATAGAAAAAAGGAACATCGAGAAATGGCCTATACCGCAAAATAACTATGTTTAGGAGGTTCACGGGAACGATCGTAACTTATTCCCCTGAGCAAATATTAAGACGAAACATACATGATCATATTCTGCTATACTAGAGGTATAGTGAGCTAATGTATTTGTTCTTATAGTAAGGAATGTAAATAGTCATTGTCAATGGCGTCCCTGTCCAGTTTTTAGTGACTGTGAACATTAGTGCTAAATAATTATGAACATACTCATATGTGACAGACATGATACAACATGGAGCCAGTTTATTTGTGTGCTTTCTTCCTTTATTCTGCCCATGAGATGACGTCATTCATGTGATATACCATGTAATATCCATTTTTATGTCTCAACCAATCACAGCATGCATGACAACGGTGAGATGCGATAATGAGTTATAATGTAGTTATGGCATATTTATATTGCCTTGTGTTATACTTTGTCTGATGTACCGGTATATTGCAAAAAGTGAGACATACATTTCTGTAAACATGCATTGCCAACTTACTAGGTTTTCAGTCTCTTGAAATATTACGGTACCATGAACATCTTTAATGAGATGATTTGGTAAATCAGTGTGTTCAACAACATGTTCATCAATCATATTGGCACTGTAAGTATAAAATTAACATATATGTAAATTAATGTCTAACTATACTGCATTTATGACATGATGAAAATCAAAAAATATTTAGAAAGAAATCCTTTGTAATGAGGGTATGGGATTAATGGAACAGAAACAAGTCACTGGAAATGACACAGTTCCCATTAAATTTTTGAAAGTTCTCTTTGTGCTCATCATATAAAGCGGAGGGGTTGTTGCGAGTGTGTCCTTGAAACTTGAGTCCCAAGTGGCGTATACAACAAATTATTTATTTACATCAAATTCGAACATGTGTTGCATGACAACCCCTCCGGTTTAAGACATAGCAAAGAAAAAAAAATGGATCACAAGTGAAAGCATGTCCAAGTTATCACCTTTTAAACAAACAAGATGGCCGCCAGTTGATCAAATTGCAAATTGAATTGACACGTACATGTATCCATTTATGACATGCTAAATATCAATGAAAATGATACATGGGTGACAGAGATATAGTAATATGGCCAAAAATAAATACAGTCGTTATTCGGCCATCATTGATCTGATTATGAAACAAACTGACATGTACGTGCCAAATACGAATGAAAATAGTACATAAATCTTGGAAATATAGTAGTAAGGCCAAAAAGTCAGATGGCTGGCAATCGGCCATCCTTGATCTGATTTTGAAACAAATTGTCATGGACATGTATTCTAACATGTATACGCCAAATTTGAATGAAAACTAACAAAGCATGTCCAAAATACAACATTTTCAAAAAACAAGATGGCTACCAGTCCGCTATTTTGAATCGAATCGCTAAACCACTGCATGTCCCACATAAAGTACTAGGCACATGCAAAGAATGAACGGATGCACTTGAGTTACAGTTGCTTGCAGTTGCAATTATGAACTTTTATAGTGTTCTTAAGGACATTGGACAAACATCATTGAGGCTAAACTTAAGAAATCGTGGGTGTGCAAAAACCTGAAAAATAGTCAAGAAAAGAAAAAATGTTTTGTCGAAAATAACATTTTTTACCAAAAATGACAAAAATATTCACTAAAAATCCAAATTTGCATATTTTGACACAAATTTAACAAATCTGACAGAGGACCACCTCAAGTACCACTGCTGGAAATATATGAAAGCATTTGGACTTACGGTTTCGGACTAGTTGTCGAAAATAACATTTTTTACAAAAAATGACAAAAATATTCACTAAAAATTTAAATTTGCATATTTTGACACAAATTTGAAAAATCTGACAGAGAACCACCCCACGTATCAATGCTGGAAATATGAAAGCATTTGGTCAAGTTCTTTTGAAGAAGAAGTCGTTTAAAGGAAAACTTCACACGGGACGCCGGAGAGACACCTATACCAACAGCTCCGCTGGGTCATCTGCGATGACAGCAGAGCTAAAAATGTAAAACTATAGTCTATTCAACTAGAAGCGAAACGAAATAATTTTGTATATGGTTTGTGATTTCCTAGTCCACCTACTTTTTGTGAAGTGGCTCATGAGATATCAGTGACACACACACACATGTTCCACAAAAAGGTACCTTAATTGTATGTTCTGCTATCTTAGAACTAAATTAACATAACACGGGATCTCATAGTAAACAGAAAATGGTCTATTGTGTAATAGAAAACATTTTCAAACTAATGAAAACTTACAAAGTGACAGTCAGCTGGACGTACCATCTGAGTTCTTTCGTCCCACGACATGTTTTACAGGTAACACTACCAAGGCCGCCACAAGTTCCACACCTGAAAAAGGTGAATCCTAAATATGTCAACAGTGATGAGATTTATCAGCTTGTCAAAGAAACAAGAGCTGTAACATAATACATGCAGTGCTGTAACATAATACATGCAGTGCTGTAACATAATACATGCAGTGCTGTAACATAATACATGCAGTGCTGTAACATAATACATGCAGTGCTGTAACATAATACATGCAGTGCTGTAACATAATACATGCAGTGCTGTAACATAATACATGCAGTGCTGTAACATAATACATGCAGTGCTGTAACATAATACATGCAGTGCTGTAACATAATACATGCAGTGCTGTAACATAATACATGCAGTGCTGTAACATAATACATGCAGTGCTGTAACATAATACATGCAGTGCTGTAACATAATACATGCAGTGCTGTAACATAATACATGCAGTGCTGTAAAACACAAACACATATTGATTATACTTACACCACCTTTCCTGATCCACTACATCCACCACATAGTTTAGATTTTGTTACTCTGCGGTTATTTTGATATGTTGTGTATGTAGCATGACCACGACCATCACCATCACATGAGGAGCATGATACTTTTAACAAGAAAATACTACTTTATCTTATTGAGATCACTAATTACTCTAATTACCAACTGTTGTTACAATAAACAAATTATGAAAAAATGATGATAACGGGAAAACCATGAAGTGAATTTGCTGGACCTTGATTTATAATTCACTAACATTTTATTTGAAGCTTAATAATTATTGAGACAATATGAACCAACGTATAATCCATGACATACACACATAAGCCTGAGTATGTGTGTTGAGAGTGGACTGTGCAATTGAGTGGTATATCCAACTTTAGTGGTGGTTTATTGCCAGTATATATTACAACATCTGATACATGGAATTAACTTTAAAGCATCAAAAACCACATACAAATGTAATTCTGAAAAAATTAGTTTCTCATGCATCTGTTTTTAACCCCAAATAGCTGGCATGGTTTCAATGAGGTCTATTCCCGTGAAGCAAAAATGATTTTTGACGATTTCAGCTGACAGCAGGATTTACCCCTACTGTGTGTTATTCATGTTTGGGGCCTACTTTCAACAACCACAGTACACTGTGTATTTTACCATGGCTTGCATAATTAAAAACACACTCTCAACCAATCAGAACAATGTATTCAATTGAAATGCTCGGTATAACATGACATCTAAACATACTTTTTTTCTGCCACAGCAACTCCCACATTCTACTCTCCCAGAACCACGGCAAGTATGACATGATTTGATAGTTGATGTATGCGGTACTTCTAAGTATTTGACTTCATCTACAAATATTTGCTGATAGCTTATTTCGATATCCCAAGGACTAGGTGGTGTTCCATTCAAAGGACCATCAACTTCACCTCCTACAATGAGTCATTATGTTTAGTCAACCGATCATGCAGTCATGAAAACAACAACATTTTTGCTGAATCTGACAACAATCACATTTTGTAATACTGTGTATATTTTACAATTTATTTTTTTATGAATCAGATACAGTTTGATAGGTCTTATAAACATTGATCAAGTTAAAAAAATTATTATATTGTCAGGCAGAATGAGAATACATCAACATGCATTGATCGATATGATCACGACATTGTCTTTGTGCATACTTTGCAGTATTCTTGTAACAACCTAATATTACTTGTGTTATACTCACCTCTATATGGTTCACTGATATGCTTGGTATGGCGACATTCTGTGAAACTAATCAATTCATACTGCAAGAAATATACACAATGATTTGAATTAATAACTGCACATAATGTCAACACATACCATATATGGCAATATAAACAAATACATAGACAGTATTTGTTCTATTATTAGTGCATGCAATTAGAGGTTGTCGATCATAAAAACTGACACATGGGAAACAAACTTGTTTGATTTAGGGTGGAGAGAAAATAATCTAAATCGCAGTAATAGTAATATTTTATTGCATCATTTGAAAAAAGAACATTTCTATAAATTGTTAGAAATAAATATACGAGTAACGAAAACTGAAAAGTAGTACAGAAACTACGCTACACAAAACATGAACTAGAAGCGAACATGAGTAAACATAAAACAGTGTCTATGTGATACGGAACAGATAACATATAAAGTGGAAATGTACTAACATAATGTGACATGAACTAGCATAGTTGGTCAGTGGCTAATGACTGCCAATTTCAAACATTTTCAAAATCCTATTTTCATTTTGTGATCATTCATTAAGAGGGGGAGGGGGGAATTTTGGTTATTTGCATATTTTCAGTCAATGGTGAGCCCTACAATAAATGATAACAGATCAACGAGAAGCACAAACTACAAAGGGCCAAATAAATCTTGGTTAATACAGGATACAGAAGACTTCACAAAGTACATGTATAGCCTAAGGACCGTTACTATATCTAATTCGTAATTTGTATACAAACATTACAATATACTTATATTTAAAACTTTACCATCATTTTTGTTTTAGATGTATTTACTTTAAGGTTGCATATACTGCAGCAGAATAATACAATATTATGAATACTAACGTGTATACTTACATGAAGTGCATTGGATGGAATAATGTTATTGATGTTCATTTCTCTTGCTGCTCGATTACCATAGCAAAAGTGATCAGCAACGTAATCAATTAGTACAGTTCTCACATTATGTTCAGAAAGGTAGGGAAGTCTAAATGACAATGAGAAAGAAAGATTAGAAAGAAGTCCCATGTATTTTGGGTACTGGAAGTATGAAATATTTTAAGACAAACTGTAAAATCATTTAATTTCACTATTTCGATGTTTTGATTAAGTTCAAAACTTTGGCAGAGAAAACAGAGATGTACTGTTATTTTACATGGAATTAATTTAGTAAATTTGACTTTTCAATAAAAATGATGAAATTAAAAACCAGTGAATGATTAATGCCTTATTACAGTATTCAACAATTTAAGAATAAGAAACCAAGATCAAACAAATCTGTTGATGATTGAAGAGCAAACATTTTGTTTCATGAATTGTATAAATGTTTTCAAATCATACAGCAATATATTATTAACTAAGCTTAATTCAGGCGGGATTTGGGCAAAATATATTTGTCAACTTTGGAGGGCAAAAATGATTTATATAACCATAAATTTATCTGAAAAATTGACAACCACAATAGACAATGTTTCAGCACCTAGGCGATCTTTTGGTGTCACAAAAAATACTGTAGAAACTATAATAAGAAGTAAAAATAACATGAATTAATAGGATACAAATGGGAAAACGATTCTCTTGTTCTTTTCTTGTTGATGCAATAAATATTTTTATTTATTATTATTATTGTTTATTTACTTCAGACAAATCCATATAAATGACAACATCAAACAAACAAGCAGCCTGTCGGCTGAGATAGCTCCGCTGTTAGCAATGCACATTTCAATTAAAGAACTGAAGATATTATTAGAAAATGAACAATATGTATAGTATCAAAACAATCGGACTTGTGGTTTTCAACAAAAAGTGGAAAATATCACTTTTTACCAAAAATGACAAAAATATTCACCAAAATTAGAAAATTAAAGATATCATTACAAAATGAACAAATCTGAGAGAATTCCACATGTAGTACCTATATATGTATTATCAAAGCAATTGGACTTGTGGTTTTTAACAAGAAGTTGAAAATATCACTTTATACCAAAAATAACAAAAATATTCACCAAAATTAGAGAATTGAAGATATCATCATGAATTGAACAAATCTGAGAGAGGTCTACCCAAGGTACATATACACCATGTATCAAAGCATTCAGGCTTGTAGTTTTCAAGAAGAAGTCGAAAAAGTAAAACACTGACACGGACGACGACGGAAGACGGACAATCACTCATATGATAAGCTCCGCTCGACAAAGTCGACAGCGGAGCAAAAAAAACTGAAAAATAAATAAAATATATTAATAAATCATTTTTCTCCAGTGTTGCAAGGCAACAATGTGCCAATTTTAGAAAACTGATTGATCAGAAACATTTTTCTTTTTTTCAGTAATACTGATTGGAACATACCATTAAACTCAAGGAGATGCAGGGCACTACATGTGAAGGGGACCACTGGGTTTAATTTAGCAGATTTTATTGCATGGATGTTCACTATGCTTTAATATCACTGGCTCGTGAAAGAAACAAAACATTATATTGTTATACTTAAATAATAACTTTTACTGTAATTTAATAGATTTACCAGAGAAATGGGCAAAAATACAAACTCATTTAATGATTTCACACTATACATACTATATAAAGCTATTCTTACTCAGTAAATCTGTGTTCTTGTAGTTGTGGTTGTTGCACAGACACCTGTGGTGGAGGAACTGTGGAATCTGGAATGGGAAAAAAACTAAATATATATATTTTAACCAATCATAAGGACATGCAGTTACCATGACAGCATTCATCATTCTATGCTTTTTAGTGACAGAAGAAGTGATATCTTTTATTAACCAATTAAATCAGTCTAAAACAAGCATTACTAGAACTACCAGTGGTTAAACAGTATTTTGGGTCCAGGTCATAAGCTTCATTTGTTGGTATACACAGCAGCATCACTGTGCAGGCCAGACCCTAACGCCACTGTGCAATCGATCGTGTTCTCAAAATGGTGAAAGCGGAAATAGGGTATATTTTTGTACACAGGCCCAAGAAATTGGCTGGAAAACATAATAAAGACTATGATTTCAATAAAAACAAGCCATGCATGGCACAGTCCCAGTTAGTTTTGTTTATAGTAATATAGTTGGAATATAAACATGTCAGGAATATGATTATGATGATTGTTTAACATTTAAATGATTGACATTTGTATCTGATAGTCAAACACGAGATATTGCTCTGGAACAGCATTAATTAAAACAAAATCTGCGATTTTGAATACATGTATAATGAATATATAAAATTTGAACATAGCCTGTCAAAGCATGTCAGAGATATGGCTCTAAAAGCCCATTCATTAAAAAAAATGGCCACTAGTCAGCCATTCTGAATCCGATCTAAAAAAATAAAATAACATGCATCAGGAACCCATAATGTTTAATGCATGTACCAAGTTTGAACAAAATCCATCCATAAATGCCAGAAATACTTGATATTTGATGATTTTTTATCACAAAAATGGCCACCATTCAGCCATTTTGAATAGGATCGTCAAACCAATATATCTGTCTATCTATGACATGATGTATAAGGAATATTTCAAATTTGAACATAATCAGTCACAGCAAGTCAGAGATATGGCACTAGAACCACATTTATCGAAACAAAATGGCCGCCAGTCAGCTATTTTGAATCTTATCTGAAAACAAAATAATGTGCGTTTGTCATAATAGTTCAGGAAAATTGCTGAAAAATCAGACGGAATTATATTTTAGTATTGTTAAATTACTATATATAGTTTACATTGTTATAATTTTGGTAAGTTAAATACTAAGTTAAGTACTAAATTTTCATCGTTTCAGTAGGACGATCGTAAGTCAGCGTCTGATGATGTTCAACATGGCGACAAAATTTTGTTCCCCAAAATCTCAAAACGTTTCACAAGTATATTTTGTACATTAAATTAGAATCTGAAAGTCTTTTATGGGAGCACTATGATGTTAATTCATTTTCTAGAAGTTTGTAGACATTTTTCTCCCAAATAGCAATGTCGGTCATCTTGTTTTTCTCCTGCTCGCTGCTACTCGTGTCAGTGTAAGTGACACAGGAAGGTCTATGGTTTCATAGTGCAGTTTTAATCTGAATATATTTTTTATATTTCAGTGATCATTTTCATACCAAATCCTGACAAGGTTGTATAAATCTTGATAGCATTTGATATCAAAAAAAAAATGTAACAGAAAACTCCAATGTTTACCAAGACACACATTCTAACAAAAGAGAGTTTCCTAACCGTTCTTCTGGTAACCGTGTTGAAACCCAGTCTAGTATTCCCATGGGATTTCGGAGATACATTACCAACAATATAAATTACAATATAAATGATTTACTTCATTGAACATATATACAACAATGCATATTCCCACTGGGACCAGTGACACTTGAATGCAGTCAGTCAAAGATTATCAGATTTTGACTACTATCGGTACTTTCTCAGGACATCTGTCATTCGCACTAAGGGAAGATTTTATACTGATGAATTGGGTGACCAAGCTTGATATTTGGAATAGAAATAGAAATAGTAAAGTTATTGTATGACAACAACAAGGACAACAGAAACTTTCCCCTTAATATACCTTTCCGTTTCATCTTTGATGATACGGGCAAGGTAAAAAATAACTCAATGTCAGCATAATTTCGCCAGATCACGATGAATTCTGGGAATCTAATGTGATCACTCTCATGTTTTGAGTAATGATTGCAAAACATAATACTACAGCCTAAAATCACATGTACGCACATTTAGCTATGAATAAATCAGACATTTTTGTATATTATCAAGTGTAAGCACCTAAATTTGACTTGTTACCTGTATATCCTAGTGATTCATATTCTGGAGGTGTTCCTAACTCACTCAAATCAGAATTACCATTAGCAACATCCACATCTACATTCTCCATTGCTATGTAATAATTGCTGCCATGGTTACTATTATCATCATCTTCAAAATTTGAATCTGCAATTTAAGTAATACTGGTATGTATATAAAGAGTGTGACAGTGTAAAGATACTACATTGGCTGAGTCTATAATCTATGAGAGTTCTGTCTACATTGGCTGAGTCTATAATCTATGAGAGTTACGTCTACATTGGCTGAGTTTATAATCTATGAGAGTTTTGTCTACATTGGCTGAGTCTATAATCTATGAGAGTTCTGTCTACATTGGCTGAGTCTATAATCTATGAGAGTTCTGTCTACATTGGCTGAGTCTATAATCTATGAGAGTTTTGTCTACATTGGCTGAGTCTATAATCTATGA